CACTACCAGTGAAGTTGGGATGAAATAGAAGTGATAGTCATTGTCTCCTTCATTAAATTTAATACATTTAGAGTGCACAGACAAAATGCTCTGATGAGCTACTGGTCAAATTACTTAAAATCCCACTCAGTTTATCTCACTCATGATGCCAGATATTGTATATGCTGTTTAATGAGATTTTTTGATTCACATCTAGGGATTCAGAGTAATTTTGCACATCTCAAGTTTATGCACATGTCCTTATCGAATAAAAAATACATCCATCTCAAGCAAGCACAACTTGGAATACACATCATGGGATACAGACACTCTCTTTGATGCAGTCACAGAAGACAGTGTGGTTATAAATAAAAGTATCATAGGCCTATTCATTTCATCTTTTGTTGTTTAAAGCACTAGATCACAGTGGGCTTAATTAGTTTTTTTTCTTTGTAAAGTGATCTAAAACAAATAATTAACAAAAGGTAAAAATGTATGACACAGCCCTATATCTCAAAACCAACGCATTCTCATCCTTTAACGTCATATAGAACGCTATATGCAAAAACGGCGCTATACTACGCACATGGCACCCGTTATCGTTAATATAACACGCGCTGTGAGGGCTAAGTTTAGGTGTGGGGTAGGGTGTGCGTGTCATATTCACGCTAAAGGATTTATAACGTCTTGGGTTAGCGTGTTATATTAACGATAAAGGGTGCCATGTGCGTAGTATAGCGCCGTTTTGTCATATAGCGTTCTATATGACGTTAAAGGATGAGAACGGGCTGCTCAAAACACAAACCGTCCTCAAAAACTGAGTGATCGTGTGATAAAGATATATCTGAGGGAGCCACCAATAAACCAGTGACATCTCTGAAGAAGACAATTGTTGCCTGGGTGAGGATCATAGGAGAGGATCTGTATGTCATCTAGTTTGCTAGAATGCATGTAGGAGAAGGGTTCATGGTCTGATGAGACCGTAATGTGCTATATCAGACTAAATATCTAGTTTGGTAGAAGCCAAACACAGCTCATCACAACAAACACCCATCCCGACCATGAAGCAAACAGAAAAAATACAATTGGACAAATTTGGATCATGCAACTAAGCAGTTGAGCAGTTTTGCAAAGAAAAATGTCCAGGATTTAAAGTTTAAAAGATATTTCCAGTGTTTCTGCTTTAATTATGACAAATCTTTATTATTATTCTATTTATTGTAATATATTAGTGCTTTCATCGATAAAAAAACTTGATTAATCAAAAAATAATTCTGTGATTAATCACAATTTATAGGTTTTTAGGATTTTATAGTGTAATAATTTCACAGTTAATCAAATGAATCTACGCATTCATTAATGTTGACGTACAGTGTATATATATATATATATATATA